CAAGGAGCCAATTCCCCAAAGATTATGGGAGAAGACTTCCGGATGAGAGGAGAAGTAGCCTTGGAGAGATAGACTCTGAACACAGAGAGCAGGAGGACCTGGAAACCTGACCCTGACCTAGGCATTTGCAACGTCTGGAAAGAAGCAAGTTCTCCTTGGAAAAGGAGTCTGCGTGTCCCAACCCTTCACACAACTTGGTCAAAGAAATACTGCATGCATGGCATTAGGTGTGGTGGCTTATGCCCAAAATTCCAGCACTTTGGGAGGCCGAGGTGAGAGGATTGCCTGAGCCCATGGGTTCAAGACCAGCCTGGGCAACTTGGCAAGACCTCGGAAGGAAGGAAGGAAGGAAGGAAGGAAGGAAGGAAGGAAGGAAGGAAGGAAGACTGCATGGAACAAGGCTGTACTAAGTATAGAACAAAGTCGAGGTTTAGGACTGAGGCTCAGATATTCAGACTGGCATACTGTTTCCTTACTCTCTTCTCTGAGCTTGGGAATTAGGTTCTATACATTGAATCCTTTGATGTTTCTTCAAAGAAATTCTGCACTCCAATCACTGAAAAGCTGGCTAAAAATGCAGATTCCGGGCCCCACCCCTCCAGCTGGCTCCACAGTTTGCTCAGGAATGAAAACCTCTAGATTCAACCAGATGCCAGGTGTGGGAGGTCCTCTAAGGCCATCTCTGTGCTTTTTGAAACTTTCCTGGCCACCCTCCAGCATGGAAACCAATGTTAGCTTCTATGGAGCGCCCACATGTGGAAGAGAGACACATGGGCAGGGGGCTAGGGCCTCTGTGGCCCAGGCTGTCCCTAGAGCTCAAAACCACCTATCAACTTGACCATCTCCATGGTAATAGATGGGGACAATGAAGTCCAAGGAGGGAGACATCTGCCCAAAGTCATGTGGGCTCTCTTGGTAAACCCAAGACCTGCCTTGTCTCTGGACCCACAAACTTCGAGCCTCCTGTGTCTCCTGGGCTCATGCATGGTGCTGAGCACTCTCCTAGTCCCACATGCCACGTGCCAACAGGCATGGCTCCCAAACACCCTCCCGGGCCTGGGCTGCAGCCTCAGACCCTGAGCCCATGTCCCTGCTCCTTCCTGCCCTAACAGAAGGCACCTGTGCTTAGCAAAGACCTCAGCCCCACAGTGACACCAGCTCTCTGGGCGGTTCTCCTGCTGGAACCTGGGTGGGCCGAGGGCAGGATTCTGGTCCTGGGTGAGGCCCTCCACCACAGAGGACAGGAGGAGTAGTCTGACATCTCTCATAATTGTTGATGCTATATTCCATTAATTCTATATTTTGACATTGTAACATTCCTGAAATAAGAATGCAAGATAAGCCGGGCTCGGTGGCTCAACCTGTAATACCGTGCCTTTGGGAGGCAGAGGTGAGTGGATTGCCTAAGCCTGCAGGTTCGAGACCTGCCTGGGCAACTTGGCAAGACCTCATCTCTACAATAAATCAAAAATCAGCCGGGCGTGGTAGCACGTGCCTGTAATTCTGGCTACTCGGAAGGCTGAGGCGGAAGGATCACCGGAGCCCAGTGGGTAGAGGCTGCGGTGGCCAGGTGCGGCTACTGCACTCCAGTCTGGGCGACAGAGCGAGACTCCCACTCAAAAAAAGAAAAAGAAAAAGAAAAAAAAGAATGCAAGATATAATCAACAGTAATCTTGAGCACTGCCTCATGGTTTAGTTGGGAGGTTTCTTTTTCTTTTTTTTTTTTTAGTCAGAGTCTCACTCTGCTGCCCAGGCTGGGTTGCAGTGGCATGCTCACAGCCCCAGTGTTGACCTGCTGAGTTCAGGTGATTCTTCTGCCTCAGCCTTCCAAGAAGCCGGAACTACAGATGTGCACTACTGTATCTGGCTAATTTTTTGATATATTGTAGAGATGAGGTCTCACCAAGTTGCCCAGGCTGGTCTCGAACCCCTGGACTCAGGCAATCCTCTCACCTCGGCCTCCCAAAGTGCTGGGATTACAGGCTTGAGCCATTGTGCCCGGCCTAGTTGGGAGGTTTTAAAAAATTCTCATTGACACAAAATGATGGTGCATCTTAACAAAAAGTAGAGCTTATGCTTGAAGAAAAAGAATAATCTCCTTTTTTGGGGAAATGCTGGCCTTAAGGTGCATCTTGTAACTTAATCTTCATGAGAACCTTATAAAGGCAAATTACCCCAGGTTTTTATTTTTGTTTTTTTTTTTGGGGGTTGGAGTCTCACTCTGTCGCCCAGACTGGAGTGCAGTGGCCGCTCCCGGCCACCGCAGCCTCGACCTGCTGGGCTCCGGCGATCCTTCTGCCTCCGCCTTCCAAGTAGCCGGAATTACAGGCACGTGCTACCACGCCCGGCTGATTTTTTGATTTATTGTAGAGATGAGGTCTCGCTGCCCAGGCAATCCACTCCCTCAGCCACAGGCTCAGGCAATCCACTCACCTCAGCCTCCCAAAGGCGTGGGATTACAGGCTGAGCCACCGAGCCCGGCTTACCCCAGGTTTAACAGGTGAGAAGACTGAGGTCCAGAGAGGTTGGATCAACTGCCTCCCAACAGCTAGCAGGTGGTTCTGATAGTTAATTTTATGTGTCAACTTGGTTAGACTATGGTGCCCAGTTTGGTCAAACACTAGTCTTAGATGTTACTGTAAAGGTATTTTTTAGATGTGATGAATATTTACAATCAGTTGGCTATAATGTTGGCATGCCTCATCCAATCAGTTGAAGGCCTTACAAGGTTTCTTGGAGAAGGAATTTTGCCTCAAAACTGTACCATGGAGGCCTGAGACCACACTACCCTACAAATCTTGGATTTGCCAGCTCTCACAATCATGTGAGCCAATTCCTTAAAATAAATCTCTATTTATCCAGTTGGCTTGTTTCCCTGGAGAAACTGACTGAGGCGGTGGGGGAGCCTGTATCTGCAGGGAGGCCCAGCTCCCACTTGGAGGGTAGGACCTAGCTCCAAATAATCTCGTGATCCCAGCACCTTGGGAGGCGAGGCAAGAGGATTGCTTGAGCCCAGGGTTTTGAGCCCAGGGGTTTGAGCCCAGGGGTTTGAGACCAGCCTGGGCAATGTAGTGAGACCTCATCTCTACAAAAAATACAAAAATTAAGCCGGGCTTGCTGGCTCAGCCTGGAATCCCAGCGCTTTGGGAGGCTGAGGTGAGTGGATTGCCTGAGGCCATGGGTTCGAGACCCGCCTGGGCAACTTGGCGAGATCTCATCTATACAATAAATCAAAAATTAGCCAGGTGTGGTAGCGCACGCCTGTAGTTCCAGCTACTTGGAAGGCTGAGGCGGAAGGATCGCTGGAGCCCAGCAGGTCGAGGCTGCGGTGGCCGGGAACGGCCACTGCACTCCAGTCTGGGTGACAGAGTGAGACTCCAACTCAAAAAATAAATAAATAAATAAATAAAATAAACAAACAAATAATAAAAAAATTAGCCAGGTGGCACATACCTGTAGTGCAAGCTACTTGAGAGGCTGAGGCGAAAGAATGACCTGAGCATAGGAGGTCAGGACTGTGGTGAGCTGTGATTGTGCCACTGCACTTCAGCCTGGGTGACAGAGTGAGACCCGACTCAAATAAAAAAAGCCAGTTTGGCTGCTGCCCTCGACATCACCCTCCCCAACATCTCGAGGAGACACCAACCAGGGCTGATTTGAGAGAGGGAAGGAGGGTCTTGTCCGAGAGGGGAGTCCAGGAAGAGAGCCAAGAGACCATTACAGGTGATGTGTTTATTACGGGATGCCTTTTTCTGGGGCCAGGTTGACTGTGAGGGGCCCCTCACAAGCCCCCAGCCCTGAACAGACAGATACAATAACTTGGGATTCAAACTGGTTGCACATAAATAGAAGGAGGTTAGCAAAGGAAAAACAAAAAAAACAACAAACGAACGTGTAGTTTCTATGCTAGTGTAACAAGGTGGCAGCTTAGCTTCTCTTCCTGTTTTCATGCTGAGACTTTCATCTGCTCTGAAAAGCTTTATACCTTGGATTATTCAGGAGCCAAGAAAACCAGGATGGGTTCTTTTTTAAAAAACAAGCGCACTTTGGGGGGCCGAAGCTTGAAGCCAGGGGTTTGAGACCAGCCTGGGCGACACAGCAAGACCCAGTTTCTATTAAACAAACAAATAAACAACCCAAAAATTGCTTCCATGGCCCTTTGCACCTCCCAATTCTCAACCCAAGCCAATCAAGACACCATGCAGAGCACAAGCTGCAAGTTCAAATAAAAACATATTGCACATGGTCACAAGAGTCTTCCTGAGATCCCTCTTGCTGTAGATCCCTCAATGCTGGCTTTCGATGCAGCCGGTCGCCAGCCTATCAATGGCGGGCTGATATGCTCCTGTTCATCCCCACTTCCCAAATCCAGGGCAGTAAGCAAATATTCCACGCTGCTATCCTTCACTATCAGCCATGCTCAAGGCCAAGGCTGGGTTACCCTCAAGTCCTGAAGCATGTGGGGGAGGGAGTAGGGATTGTTTAAAACCTCTGTCTTCCTTTCTGCAACCTTTTCCCTTCTTGGTGGTTATGGAAGTTTTGCAGATGAATGCAGCATCCAAGACGTGGAATCTTCCAGAACTGGGAGGCGAGAAAAGTAGTTCTTCCCAGCCATGTAGAGGGAGCTCTGTTGTCACCCAAAACAAACTGGATTAAAACTCAGCCCTGACATGAGACAGGCAGTTGTGACAATTAAATCTGCTTTTTCTCCTAAGGGATTTTCAAGTATCAAAAAGTCCCTGATGCAGTATGTAAATAAGACAACTTACTGGACAGAAAGCGAGATCATTTCTGGAAGTAGTAGCGTGTGATACACCTAAAAGGCCGAAAAGGGTGTTAGGTTGGACAGCAAAGGCAAGACAGGTGCCCCTTGGGCCTCGTTGGGTAGACACTCGGGCATAAACACACACATGGGCCCCTCTGTGGAGCCAGGGAAAGACAAGCACCCAGTCCAGCATCTTCCAGGGTCCTGAGAATATGCCAGGCTGCCCCTCCTTTTTCAGAGGTCTAGCTGCCATTGGCCAGGAGTAGAGAAGGCTTTGATGCTAAAAGGCAGACACACCTGCGGACTAGTGGTCTGCAACTAGTTCCCAGTTTCCTGGCCTTCCATCAGGTCTCTTAACTCACTGGGCCCCTGATTGAGGGGATGGCGACTGAGCCATGCCGTGATATCCCAGCCACAAGTGGAAGACGTTTCTCAGAGGAATGCTCTTAGGTGAGGTATGTCATTGAATGTTTTGCTCTGAGTCTGTCTTATTTAAAAGTAGCACGAACCCTCCATGTCCAAGGGCACCAAGGCTCTTCGGACACGCCTTCCGGTGCCTTGCTTGGCTGAGCTCTCCCTTTCGGTGTCGTCTTCCTCTGCCCGGGTCTCCAAGGCTCTCCTGTGTGGCCCACTGGTGGCCTATCTATCAAAACAGCCTGTGGAGAACATGTGGCTCCCGCTGAAGTAACTGCTTCCATAGGTGGCAGCGAGGCAGTGCCGGGGCTCGGCTGCAATGGCCATCTGCATGCCGAGGGACGCAGGGATGGGCATGGGACACATATCCAGGGGCTGGAGGGTGGGGTATGGGGTGTGGAGGGAGGAGCTCGTGTCCCCCGAGAGCAGGCTCCCCGAACGGTGGGTCTGCAGCGAGTTCCGATAGGCCAGGCACAGGTCCTGTACGGGGCTCTGGAACTGTGCCAGTGTGGTCACTGGCTGGCCAAGGGTGGGGTAGGCAGGAGGCTGGAACAGCACCTGGGTGGGAGCAGGGGGCGTGCCAGGCACCATCGCCAAGGCCTGGCTCTTCACTGCAACGGCATCCTTGAGGACGTTGTCATACGTTCTGGAAGGAGAAGGCCTGGGTGAGACTGGGAGGTCAAAGGTCAAGGCATCTCTGCCTGCCTTGCTGAGTGAGACTGGAAGAGACACGTGTGCCCTGTGTCCAGCGGGTCTTCCCAGTCTGCCCTTGCTGCCTGTTCACGGCTTCAGTCATTTCCCAACTAGACTTGGGCCTCAATCTCAGCTTGGAGCTAATTCCCACAGAAAACTTCTTCTGACTCTTCTGGACGAGGCTAGCTGTCCCTGCAGTCCTGCACTGCTCTATCTCGCGGTCCAGAGGGTAATTTCTGGTTGCTGCCTGGCTGTTAAGAAGGACCACATCTGCTTGTGCCCACCCCTGCATTCTCTGCACCTGGCGCCAGAGTGTTCCCAGGGACTGAATAAGCCCAATTTCTGCCTTCCAGGGACTTCTGGGCCAAGCATGTTGCCCCCTGCGATCTACGTTTCTCCATCTGAAAAGTGGGGTGGAACAGTCTTTTTTCTTTCTTTCTTCTAAAAAGTCATTTCGGCTGGGCGCAGAGGCTCACGCCTGTGATTGTTGCAATTTGGGAGGTGGAAGTGGGAGGATAACCTGAGCCCAGGGGTTCAAGACCAGCCTGGGCAACTTGGTGAGTCCTCGTCTCTACAATAAATCAAAAAATTAGCTGGGTGTGGTGGTGTGTGCCTGTAGTTCCAGCTACTTGGAAGGTGGAGGCAGAAGGATCACCTGAGCCCAGCTGGTCAAGGCTGCAGTAGCTGTGAGTGTGCCACTAGACTCCAGCCTGGACGACAGAGTGAGATCCCAATTTAAAAAAAAAAGTTATTTTGTAGAGACAAGGGTCTTTCTATGTCCCAGGCTGGACTCAAAGTCCCATGCTCAAGTGATCCTCCCACCTTGGCCTCTCAGATTGTTGGGATTATAGGCATGTACCACCATACCTCGCTGGAACAGAGATTTTTGCCATCTCAAAAACTCCTCATAAAGCTTTTTGGGAAAACAAAACAATAAGAGTTTTATGTAAGGAAGGAGACCACGGAGGCTGCAAGACATCTGAGAAGGGTCATCCCAGAGTGACAGCCATCCATGAAGAGGGGAGGCCTGGCCAGTGGCCAAACATCTAGGGGCGGGTGAATATCCAGAGGCAATCAGCACGGTCAGGCCAGGCTTTAGGGACCCCAAAAGCACACATTTTAAAACTAGGTCTAGAAAGTAGGACTGACATTCCATTTCTTTTCCTTTTTTTTTTTTTTCATTTGAGCTAGAGTCTCGCTCTGTCACCCAGGCTAGAGAGCAGTGGTGTAATCATAGTGTACTGCAGCCTCAAACTCCTGGGCTCAAGTGATCCTCCTGCCTTGACCTCCCAAAGGAATGACACAAAGGTAACCACAGTAAAGCTTCCCACATCAGGAAGCTAAGAGGAGGTTCTTCAGGGACTGAAGGGCCTTCGCTTTGCCTGTGCAGTCCCCTGGTCAGTCAGGCCAGCACCCAGGATATGCCTCTACCTGTTGGGTGGATGAGGACTGGAATGGGAATGGCCCCTGGGAGCAGCTCTGTCCTGTCTGCCTGTCTCCCTGTAGTCACTACAGGGATCTTTTGCCACAGTGGCAGTTTCCTGGTGTTGGCTCCAGGATGCCTGTAAGCGGCTTTTCTGATATACTGAATGCTTTCTGCCTAAGATTGCCAGGGATCCTTCTGAAGAGGCTGTGGTGATCATGGGTAGTCACTCTGGGCTTAACTGGCTACGAGGTCAGCTTTGTGGTCATGTTTGAGAAAAGTAGCTAATGATGAGAGTTCTTCAATGTGATTATCCACAAGACGACATTGGACTTAGATCAAAGAGCCCTGGCATTCAAAGGAGGTACACACAGCCCTCCTCTCCCTTGTTCCCTAAACTTAAAAATGCAAACCCAAAGCACCCCGAAATAGGAAGACTCTCCAAGCCCCACTTCTATGAGGAGTCGCCACAGCCCACTTTACCTGTTACCCTTTAGCTGGGGGAACCACCATAAGCCCCACACTCAGGAAATTACCCGCAACCTTGAGCGGGCCCTCAAGGGCAAGCAGAATATCCATATTTCAAAAACAGAGTTCAGGAGAGGAGCTTACACTAGAAGGATTTCAATACACATGCTGAGATGCTCCAGGGAATAGTTCGAGATCCTTTGCAGGTCTCTGGTCCAATAGGGCGGCAGCTGCAGGCAAATCCTGGAGGCCCCCACGCAGGCTGCAGCGACCACAGAGGGCGGGAATTTATAGAATATATGATCTAAGAAGAATCACAGAGGAAGTCAGCAACACCTCCCCTCAGACTCCCACCCCCCCAGAGAATGAGTAGACAAATGAATTGTTTCAATGACTATTTATTGCTGCCCTCGAATAGGACTGAAAATTAGAAATTGTGATGTTCCATTTTAAAATCTTAACCTTGACTCTCAGACTGAGATTTCTTTCTTTCCTTCCTTTTTTGAGTCAAGACTCACTCTATCACCCAGGCTGGAGTATTGTTCAAGACCAGCCTGGACAATACATTGAGACCCTGTCTCTAAAAAAAAAGAAACAAAGAGAAAAAATCTTAGCAATGACCTTGAAACTATTTTTCCTCCTATGCATCAATTTCCTCATTTGTAAAATGGGAATAAAAATGTTTGTGTAGGGCTATGGTGAAGTTCAAATGAGATAATGTATGCAAAGCACTGAAGCAAGATGCCTGGCACACAGTAAGTGCTCAATTAATGCTGGGTATCACTGTTATTGATAATATCACTCATACTCATTTTGGTTTGTGGCTTTTAGATGGGAGTGCCATGGCATGCTCACAGTTTCCTGCAGCCTTGCCTGGGCTCAGGTGATCCTTCTGCCTCAGCTACCTGTGTAGCTGAGATTACAGGCACATACCACCATGCCTGGTTAATTTTTTTATTTTCTTGTAGAAACATGGTCTCACTATGTTGGCCTGGCAGGTCTCAAGGGGCATGCGCTGGGCTCAAGCAATCCTCCTGCCTCCGCGTCCCAGAGTGCTGAGATTACAGGTATGAGCCACTATACCTGGCCCAGGATAACTTTTATTGCTAAAGCAGATGTAAACATAATTTCCCATTCCCATCTTATCTATAAGATGACAACTCTTTGGGAATGACCTACCTGTAAATCTGTGCTATTCAAATCATTGGCAATGTTCCGGGTTATCAAGAGAAAAACTACCAGGTGACCTGGGAGTCTGTAGGGCACTGGTTGCCCGTATCTAAGCGGCCATTTCTCTTTTACATGCTATTGGTAACACCGGACGCATCCCTGCCCTCTTCGCCAGTTCCTTGAAATGCAACAGTGGTCTGAATGCCCAGGCCCCAGCCAAGGAGCAGGAGTCTCTGGATGGACATGACCCTCAGAGCCGCCTGACCCCGCCCCTGGGTGGGTGGAGAAGGGGTGGGAGGTGCTACTGCTGGGCCCCAATGTTACCTTGCAGGGTGACCTCTAGGAAGTAGTGAGCATACTCCTTGAGGCACTCTTTGGTCTTGCGGGGGCAGGTGGTCGACCAGGTGTGGCAGTGGTGGTCCTTGTGGCTGACAGAGGCCAAGAGGTAGTAGTCCAGGAAATGGGCAGGCGTGGGCAGGCATAGGTTCCAGCCGAAGGCCTCCAGCAACAGCAGCTCTGCGCTCAGAAGCTCCTTCCTGGTGAGGGTGAAGTTCTGGCTGCTCAGGATCCTGGTGCTATTTATCTGCTCCAACTTGGGCACGTGGTCCTCTCTGTCCTCGAACTTACCTGCGTGGGGGCGGGGAAACTGAGGTTACTGCAAGACACTTACCTGCACTGAGGCTTAAAGGCCCACCTTATGGTGCCTGGATCTCCAGCTGTGTGATCACAGTCGGGTGTCTCTCTGAGACTCAGCTTCCTCATCTACAAGATGGAACCTCTGGCCGGCTGCATGGCCCAGCCTGTAGTCCCAGCACTTTGGGAGGCTGAGGCGAGAGGACTGCCTGAGCATGGGGGTTCAGGACCGGCCTGGACAACTTGGTGAGACCTCATCTCTACAATAAATCACAAAAACTAGCTGGGCATGGTAGCGTGTCTGTAGTTTCAGCTACTTGGAAGGCTGAGGTAGAAGGACTGCCTCAGCAGGTTGACGCTGAGGTGGCTGTGAACATGCCACTGCGCTCTGCCTGGGTGACAAGGAGTGAGGCTCCAACTCAAAAAAAAAGATGGAACCTCTATATCCTATGGCTTTTGTGAGATTCAATGAGAAGACGAGCATCCACTGCTCAGCCTGGCATCTGAACACAGAAAGCACCTACAGCAGTGGACGGCAGCAGCCAGGGTCTGGAAACAAGGCCACCCACCACCTCCCGCCCTCACCAATCTAACCTCCAGGTCATGGTCAGAATGACCTTACAAATCATTCTGAGGAAAAGCCCCTCAATGGCTCTCACTGTCCTCAGTATTGACTTCAAACTCTGTGGGTGGGGTCTTGGTTTGGGTTTCCTCTGAAACAGATTACTTGGAAGGTGGAGGGAAAGGAAGCTAAATCCGACTAAGGACTTCGCAGAAACAGTACAGAAAATAGGCCTTGGGTTATCCACTCAGGCATCAAGGAAGAGGCATTTACCCATCAATCTCCAGCAGACAGGGTTGTGGGCTGTTCCCAGGAGACAGAGGGGGCTCCTCCTGCAGTGAGGGTCAAGGGTCAGAGGCTGGGGAGACATGACGGTCTCCACTGTGTGAGGCTCTCTGGCCTCCATGCGCCTCCCTCTGGGGAACCGCCTCACACCTGGCTGGGACCCTCCCTGGCAGTTCTGCCTGCAAGCCTTCTTTGTGCAGTCCCTCTGCCTGGAACACCCTTCCCATCTGCTCTCCACTCGGCTAAACTTGACACAACCTTCACTTGAGTCCCTGCCTCTTGGAAGCCTTCCTTGACCCCAGCCTTTGAGTACTGTATGGCTCCCATGTCAGGTGGTGAACCCTTTGAGGGCGGGCCTCTGTCTAGTCCGGTGACCTCAAACCCAGACTCTCAGGGAGCAGAGCTGCCACTGGACAAATGTCAGAAGAGACGGGGGAGGAGGGTATCTGATCTCAAAGCACAAGGCCCCGAAGATGACACGGCGGGATGAACTGTGACAACTACGTAGGCCAGGGTCTCTGTCTCCTCGGGGATCAGAGGGCCTGACTCCAAGCCCTGGTCATTGATGGGCAGGGGTCGGGCGAGTGGAAATGTACCATGCAGGGCACATCAGAGATGCTGTCACGCCGCCCCCACAGCTGACAGCAATCCATGCCCCATACTCTTCCCAAGCCCAGACCCCAGCCTGGAATGGCTGCCAAGCACATGCCATCTCTTGTCTTACACATGTTAGAAGGTCAATGTGAGGTTAAAGCCTCCTGAGGGGGAGGAGCCTCTGGTATGGCTGGAAATCTCGGGGGTGAGGCCTAGCTGACCAGCCCTGCTGGCCTCTGCGACCTCAAACCCAACACTTCCCCCATAAGCACAGGATCGAGCCTGGGGGACTCTGGACTCTGACCCCTCCCCCTGGCTGGGAGGGCTCATCCCCTCAGTCCTCTAGAGCTCAGTTCAGAGGTCACTAGACGTCATCAAAGCAGGTCCCATACCCAGACCACTTGCTTGGTATCATGTTAATAACTGGCCAGGCACGGTGGCTGGCACGAGACCCACCTGGGCAACTTGGTGAGACCTCATTTCTACAATAAAAAATCAAAATTTAGCCGGGTGTGGTAGCGCACACCTGTAGTTCCAGCTACTTGGAAGGCTGAGGTGGAAGGATCGCCGGAGCCCAGCAGGTTGAGGCTGCGGTGGCCAGGAGTGTGCCACTGCACTCCAGTCTGGGCAACAGAGCGAGACTCCAACTCAAAAAAACAAAAACAAAAAATAAATAAATAAAAATAAAATAAGCCGGGCTCGGTGGCTCAGCCTGTAATCCCGCGCCTTTGGGAGGCTGAGGTGAGTGGATTGCCTGAGCCCGCGGGTTCGAGACCCACCTGGGCAGAAAGAGCTCATCTCTACAATAAATCAAAAAATCAGCCGGGTGTGGTAGCGCATGCCTGTAACTCCAGCTACTTGGAAGGCTGAGGTGGAAGGATTGCCGGAGCCCAGCAGGTCGAGGCTGCGGTGGTCGGGAACGGCCACTATACTCCAGTCTGAGCAACAGAGTGAGACTCCAACTCAAAAAAAATAATAATAATAAAATAAAATAAAATTGCACAAAGAGTACATGATCATTGGAGAAGAAAGCAGGGAATACAAAGTCATCAAAGATAACTTTTGAAATGGGCCAAAATTCCTCTTTCCAGAGAGGACCTTTCATTCATACATTCAACAAATGCTTATTGAGTACCTACTATGTGCTGGGCACCTTGCTGAAAACTGGAGGCACAGCAGCAAATAGGTTGAACCTGGTTCCTGTCTTCATGGGACTTAGAATCAGGTGCCAGTTGTTGTTGTTGTTATTGTTGTTATTATTATGTTTTTGAGTCAGGGTCTCACCTTGTCTCCCAGGGTGGAGTGCAGTGGCATGAGAATCACGGCTTACCGCAGCCTTGACCTCCTGGCCTTAGGTGATCCTCCTGCTTCAGCCTCCCTAGTAGCTGGGATTATAGATGTGTGCCTCCACACCAGGCTAATTTTTTTGTTTTTTTGTAGAGACGATGTCTCACTGTGTTGTCCAGGTCAGTCTTGAACTTCTGAACTCAAGCAATCCTCTTGTCTTGGCTTCCCAAAGTTCTGGGATTACAGGCATGAGCCCGTGTGCCCAACCAACCAGTTATTAAAATATATATTTTTTTGAGTTGGAGTCTCTGTCACCCAGGCTGGAGGAGTGCAGTGGCACACTCATGGCCACCACAGCCTTGATCTGCTGGGCTCAGGCGATCCTTCCACCTCAACCTTCCAAGTAGCTGGAACTACAGGAATGTGCCACCACGCCCAACTAATTTTTTGGATTATTGTAGAGATGAGGTCTCACCAAGTTGCCCAGGCTGATCTTGAACCCGAGGGCTCAGGCAATCCTCTCACCTCAGCCTCCCAAGGCGCGGGATTACAGGCTGAGCCACCAAGCCCGGCTTAGTTTCATTTTTTGAACCGGAGTCTCACTTTGTCACCCAGGCTGGAGTGCAGTGGCATACTTACGGCCACTGTAGCCTCGACCTGCTGGGCTCTGGCGATCCTTCCACCTCAGTCTTCCAAGTAGTTGGAACTACAGGCGTGCACCGCCACAGCTGGCTAATTTTTAAAAATTTATTATAGAGATGAGGTCTCCCTAAGTTGCCCAGGCTGGTCTCGAACCCCTGGGCTCAGGCAATCCTCTCACCTCAGCCTCCCAAAGTGCTTGAATTACAGGCATGAGTCACCATGCCCGGCCTCTTTGTATAATTTTAAAAGGAAGAAAAAAAATCATTATTATTATTTTTTGCAAAGTTGCACGGGTTTCCCTGAATCTCATGTTGAACTGAGCCATCCTTGGTCTCATGCACTCAACAGATAAGAGCTTTCCTGTCCTCACTGAGCAGAAGGTGGGAGGTGAAGGTGCCCTGGACTAGGGTGGCGCTCAGACCCCTGCATGGTGCTGCTGATGGCCAGCAATATATCCCGACCAGCAGATGGGCTCCAGCAGCTTAGTTTCCTCCTCCCCTCCCTGCTTTTCAAACCTTTCAGGGCTCTGCTACCCAAGAGGATTATCCTCCAAGGGAAGGCATTATGGATTACAGAGGAATCTGACTTCACCTGCTCTCCCTGGCCTCCTGGGGAAACCCCACACTGCAGGCCAGAGCCAGACAGAGCAGGGTCTGAATCCTCAAGAGGCTGCTCTGGACCTAACAGCACTCAACTCCAAAGGCTGTTTGTTTATGACCCAGGAATATGCCCCATATGGATATGAAATGATCCTGCAGAATGGAAGGTGCTTCCTAAGTGCCTGGCACCCAGAATGGCCTGCTTCTTGCTAGCCACACACTGAATCCTCACAGGAACCTTCTAGGTAAGTTCCTTCAAAGTCCCCAGAGAGGGCTGGGCATGGTGGCTCACGCCTGTAATCCCAGCACTTTGGGAGGCCGAGGTGAGATAACAGCCTGAGCTCATGGGTTCGAGACCAGCCTGGGCAACATAGGAAGACTTTGTCTCTACAAAAAAGAAAAAAATTAGATGGGCACAGTAGTGTGCCTGTAGTTCTAGTTACTTGGGAGGCTGAGGTGGGAGGACTGCTTAAGCCCAGGAGTTTGAAGCTGCAGTGAGCTATGATTGCATCAGTGCACTCCAGCCTGAGCAACTGAGAAAAACCCTGTAACCAAAATAAATACATAAAATTGCCAGGTGCAGTGGCTCAAGCATGTGATCCCAGCACTTTGGGAGGCCAAGGTGAGAGAATTGCCTGAGTCCAGGAGTTCGAGACCAGCCTGGGCAACCTGGAGAGACCTCATCTCTACAATAAATCAAAAAGAAAAAATTAGCGGGGTGTGGTGGCATGTGCCTGGGGTTCCAGCTACTTGGAAGGCTGAAGTGGAAGGATCACCTGATCCCAGCAGGTGGAGACTGCGGTGGCCGTGAGTTTTTGGCTACTCTCTAGTCTGGAGACAGAGTGAGATGCCAACTCAAAAACAAATACATACATACATACATAAAGTACATAAAATAAAATAAAATCCCTAGAGGCTCAAGAGAAAAAGCTGATAGGGGAAGCCAGCCTTTAGCCCTAGAAGTGAACTGCAGAGCCCTTGTTGTAACACTGCTGGCCAGGCTAATCCCAGTTTAGCGATTCTTC